ACTGCAAGGATGGAATTTCACCAAAGAAAGCGTACCGCTGAAAACAGCTTAGGAACACTCGTGCCTTCGTACACATCAAATCTTCACGATTTTTTCAGGATTCGGTTGGACGAATTCAATACTCTCTCAATACTCTGATCTTAAAAAAGAGGTTTCTTAAATTTCAACCATTTAGTAGGTCAAGACACAGCTTGAATGCAGTACAGATTTGTGTGAAATATGTGATTTTTTGTTTAAAAAATTCTCGCAGGGTTTGAAGTCTTTGATAGAGAGGCATATTTACAAGAGCAAATGAGGTACCCCCGAGAATGGGTCTCAAAATTTTTGAAATCTACTTACGTGGATTATAAAGATGTGCAAGTGACTTGTTTGTTTTTGTAAACAGTCAGAATAATTTTTAAAAATTCTTAAAAATTCAAATTAGCCTTACAAAAATTTGTTTTCGGTCGCGTGGCTGACGCCGCGCCCCCTCTTTCCAGATTTTAGGGGCTGGAGACCCGCAAAAGTTTTGAGAAGCACCTTTAAAATTCTTTCGAAGTGCGTGGCTGATGCCACGCACCTTCATTTGAAAAAAATTTCTGCCGCCCCCCCCCCGGCAGTTTCAAAAAAGACTGAGCAAATACAAGACGCTAATGAAAAGTCGGAGCGGTTGAATGGCAGAGCAGAATAGCACTACCTAGGAGGATATAAGGCATGCCTGAGCAGCAAAATGAGGGACGATGTAGCAGCTCAGACAATCGACCGGACCCCTCCGCCGGACAGTCGGAATCTGCCAGAGTCGCGCCGAACCCAGTTGACCAATGAGAGCGGGGCAAATGGGCGGTCCCTTCTTGTAGGTCGCGGTGAAATCACTGGCAGGCAAGTGGGACGCTTCTCCGGTCCTGCTGCAAAGGTACGCCATTTCTGCTCCGGAGGTACGCCAGATTTGGCAGAGCCGCGCCAGAGAAATTTGCCCGGCGCGAGTCCGCCAGATTTGGAAGAGCCGCGCCGCAGAAAATCGGAGGGGTCCGGAGCACAAATGGGAGGTCTCCGGAGCAGAAAATGGGAGGTCTCCGGAGCAGAAAATGGGAGGGCTCCGGAGCAGAAATGGGAGGTCTCCGGAGCAGAAAATGGGAGATCTCCGGAGCAGAAATGGGAGGTCTCCGGAGCAGAAATGGGAGGTTTCCGGAGCAGAAATGGGAGGTCTCCGGAGCAGAAAATGGGAGATCTCCGGAGCAGAAATGGGAGGTCTCCGGAGCAGAAATGGGAGGTTTCCGGAGCACAAATGGGAGGGCTCCGCAGCAGAAAATGGGAGGGCTCCGCAGCAGAAAATGGGAGGTCTCCGGAGCAGAAATGGGAGGGCTCCGGAGCAGAAATGGGAGGTCTCCGGAGCAGAAAATGGGAGATCTCCGGAGCAGAAAATGGGAGTTCTCCGGAGCAGAAAATGGGAGGTCTGCGAAGCAGAAAATAGGAGGTCTCCGGAGCAGAAAATGGGAGGTCTCCGGAGCAGAAAATGGGAGTTCTCCGGAGCAGAAAATGGAAGGTCTGCGAAGCAGAAAATGGGAGGTCTCCGGAGCAGAAAATGGGAGGTCTCCGGAGCAGAAAATGGGAGGTCTCGGGAGCAGAAAATGGGAGGTCTCCGGAGCAGAAAATGGGAGGTATCCGGAGCAGAAAATGGAAGGTATCCGGAGCAGAAATGGGAGGGCTCCGGCGGACGAGTGGCAGACCCACCGCTGGGTCCCCGCGGCCCTGCCATTTCTCCGGCGGAGGGGTCCTATCCGCTGTCTGAGAGGATACAGAACGCTGGAAGACAAAGACGGAGGAAGCAGAACTGTGGGTTTGGCAGAAGAACTGAACTTTATTAGATCTTGTGTAGTGTCGTACACAAATAAAGATAGTCTTCCAAGATTCATCGAGAGTGGAACATGGAACATTATGTAATGCAGTCATCGCTCTACAGTAAGTTTGATATCCGCATCACTTTTTCACAAGAATATTGAGTCGGAAATCACTCGTTGTTACCTCTTATGATCGTCTTTTCTCGCAGCTTGCACAGCTTCGAATGAGACCAGCAAAGGGGTCGAGAGATAGGCGAGCTTAACCTGTGTTAAGGGGCCCTCTGGAATGTGAAAGTGAATACTGGTGCTGACCATTGCTTCGGATTTGCTAGCTCCTGCGTCCCCCCCCACCCACTGTACTTGAGAAAATTCGAAAATCGAATATATTCGGAAATTGAAAATTTCGAATATTCGACTACCGAATAATATTCGAAAATCGAAAATTTCGAATATTCGACAATCGAATAATATTCGGAAATCGAAAATTTCGAATATTCGAATATCGGATATCATTCGACTTTCGAATATCATAAGATTTTCGGATATTAGTCGATAAATTAAATGTCTATGTGGCATGACCAAGCAAATAGTTTATAAGTTCTGTGGGTCTTTGTAGTTCCCTATTATACGACTACTACTCTGCAAAACATGATACTCTTCATTTCTGGACAAAATATGTGCATGCAAATCTGAGCGAGATTTCAACCATCAAAAACGTAAAAATCTTCCTTTTTGATAGCGGGTTCTTCTGACAAGGGAAGCTTGTTTAGTCGAAGTTGCCTTCTTTAATGGAATGTATGCCGTATTGAAGGCATAGAATGCTGATTTAAACCTGCTTTCCTTATCTGCAGAACGTTTATAAAAAGGGAGTCATGAGCGTTTCAAAGAATTGGATGTGCATTTTCGATAAAATGAGTTGATAAAATCTTACTAGCCCTCAAATAATGCAACCAAGTGTGGTCAAGTTTTTGTTTCAAAGTAATTTCTGAATAAAGTGCACTAATGATCATCACTGCTCTATTGAAGAGTTAGAAAAATATCAATGCTATTTTTGTTCTACTTGCCCATTCAATTTTTGCTCCAATAAGCGCTCATAACTCCTCGTCCATAGACGTTCTGCAGATAGGGAGGGCAGATCGGAAATTAGCGTTTCAAGCCCTAAAGTATGGTATATATCCCATTTAGAAAGGTCACTTCGACTGGTCAAGCTTCCCTTGTGAGTCCTCTGAAGTCTTCTTTTGAGCTGCTGCTGAGCTGCTGTAACTTTCATGCTTTCTTGAGGGCATTCGTAACGTGACAAATGATGCTTATATGCGTTGCGTGTGCGCTGCGTAAGTGATGAGAGAATTGCCGGACATAGACTGAAAGACTAGGAAACTAGAAAGTGATTAGAAAGACTCGAAAGTGCGAGAAGCGGTTGAAGATATCACCCTGGCGTCCTTGGCTAACGAAAATTCGACAGCAGTTACATACTGCGACACATCGCGCGTCACGACTACTGTACACACTACCGCGCCAGGACCCAGAACATATACATTCCTCTTTGAGAGTTGTAGCTCCATAGAAACTTATACAATGACGTGCTATGCTTTTATGGAGTTCGACCACACAGTGATCGAATATTCGACTTTCGAATAATATTCGAAAGTTGAGATTTTCGAATATTGGAATATCGAATATATTCGAAAACCGAAAATTCCGAATATTCGATTTTTGAATTTTATTCCGAATCTCAGATTTTCGAATATTCGACTTCTCAAATCATTCGCATTCGAATGATTTACTCGAATGATCGAATAATCATTCGATTCCGTCCCAAGTACAGTCTGCCTCAATCGGGATCAGGCCGAACCGTCGGCTGAATTTGCGCGCTCGCAGCGCTAGGGGATTGCGCTGCATACGCGCGCTGTCGCAGAGAGTGAAGAGATCGAGGAGAGAGCAGACTAGCTAGCCGCAGATGTGGCGCGAAACGCTCGCGGCGCGGACTCCCGCCATGCCGATTTTGGCCTGGTTAGGATTGGGGCAGACTGTATACCACGCACCCGCCGGAACCTGCCAAGAGGGAAGCAAAGGAGGTATGAAGTCGAGTCATTTGTGACTGAAATGTACACTTTACTGCACGGCATACCATGCGTGCTTTGAAGGCAGCGTCCAAGCAAGTCTGGAGACATGGAGATCTCACGTGGACTTTATTTTTGGGATCCTAACCTAAGGCACTGCCCAACTGACAGGTCAGCTAGTGCTCCAATGGCTGCGATATTCCCCTCGAAACTGGACCCCAGGATCGTACTTCGCATGGATTCATGGCGCAACGCGTGGGTCTCGCGCGAAATTGGCAAGAATCCAGGCGAATACGATTCTGGGGTCCAGTTTGGAAGCATATATCTCACCCGTTAGTGAGTCACCTGCCCTGCCGCTTGGGCAGTGCCTTAGTTAGGGCCCTTTAAACTAATTTCCACGTAAAATCGCCACAGGTCCAAATCTGCCTAGACGCTGCCTTTAAGATGCCGATCTCCCTCCAGGCATCTCTTCCCTCATATGGCTAGTTCCGGCGGATTTGAGAGAAATCAGGGGGTTTGGACGGTCGATGGGTAGAGCCACGGTCTGAAGCCTGCCTAGTTGGCCCGGCTCTTCCGTTCGGGTATTTACCAACTTCCTAATCTTATCTCTCGCTTCGGGTCGGCATACTTCATACGTGTGCGAATATCCGAAGGCGACAGTTTTCATGTAGTACCAGCAACAAATTTCTAAATCACTGACCCTGTTTGGACACTACCTTCAAGCCGCCTTTGTCCTCCGTGTTAAAAAGGCTCGCGAACACAGTCGGCGCAAGCAGAGTGGCTTGTGCGAGGCGATCGGGAGCAGTTTTCTCTGGAAAGCCATGCTCTACACCCGGATCTTACCTGGTGAGCAATCTACCGCAGCAAAACCCTAAATTTTTCCATTCTGAGAGCAGGCTGGGTTCATACTGAAGTCCCGAAAGAGTTCCAGCATAGCGCATAACTCGAGCGCTGTGCTGAAACTCTTCCCGAATGACGGATCAGTATGAGCAGCCTAAGAAGGTAACCGCGTTTCAGGCTCGATATATACGCTGTATAGATTCTAAACTGTGTGCTGGTATCCAGCTGTGCCACCTGTTTCATATGACTGATCTCCGTAGGCTTATCAAAGGGAACGACTTACCAAAATTATATAACTGCCAACAGCAAGCGAGAAGTGCATTGTGCACTACCTTTATTTCGCAGACTTCCTTTCTTCAAAATTTATCAAATCAGCCAGTTTTTATCAGTCTTTCATTCTCTCTAAGCATTGAACGAAACGGTCTAATCTGACTTGTCCTGAAGCGATTTTGTGACCGCATATCTGTCAGGCCGGCGCATTACTTCACAGTGTTAGTATGCCGGCAACCAAACCCTGACTCTTTTCTCAGTAAAATTTCAAAGGGATGAAATAGTGAGCGCTCAGAAAGAAGCTTGACCAATTCTTCGTAAAAGTGCTTCGCGGTATTAAGAGACTTCCAGATTCTTCCGTTGCACATTCACTGAACTCAAGTTGATGCTTTAGTACTTAGAAGTAGTTTGAGGATACACACTGTTTTGCTGAGAAAACCATTGGATAGGTAAAACTGCAGACGCGCTCTAGTTATGTGTCATGCTCCAGTTGAAGGGCGCCAATATTTGTTGTTCAAATCTCTCCGCATCATTTCTTTCGCGACAGTGTCGTGGGAACTTTCATTTTTTTTCGCTTGCTTGTTCAGAAGACAGGGACAGGACTCAGTTTATTTAGCGTCTTCTTTAACAGCTGTCTATGAGGCCGCTTCCACTTTGAGTGATGGTTGTAGAGGAGTTTCATGTGGATTTTGCGGAGGAAGAAGATGTTCTACTCTCTTTGCCGGAGAAATGGTTCACAAAGCTGGTTGACCAAAGAGACGGTCGTTCTTTTGTGGAGGCTCTTCAAATAGTGGCCAATCGGACCAATGAAGGTTGGTGCTAATTCACCTAGTTTTATTGTGATCGCGAAAGTTGACAGCAAAAAATTAGGACATCAACAAGCTGTGAAGGTACGTTGCCCCTCTAGCAAATTTCTTTAGTGTGCATTGTTTCTTTGTAAAAACCTCAGAGTTTTGCAAATTTGCAAGATCAAACTATCTGCACGAAAAGGAGACAAGTCGTATCTCGAGTATACGAATATCATACCTTGTATTGCTTAAGAAGTTATTCCCATATGCATTCAGTTCAATTTGCTCTTTACAGCCACCCAGGAATCTAGAAGGAAGTCGAGAGCCAAACCGTCGAAGAAAGATAAAAAGAGTTACCGCCTTGACAGATTAATCGTCTCAATTTTACGAGAAGATAAAAGGTGACTGACCTATCTTTATCATACGACTTATCTACTTTGTTTAAATTGATTTCCACGAGACGAAATACCTCTCACTCAATTCAGCAAGCCTCCGCTCTGCATATTCTGCTTTGATGATAGCGCTGATGTAAATGACCTGTGCGGTCGGTTACTTTGGAGCTCCGACAAGCCCACATTTTTCGCTGCTCACGAGCTTTGCGCTGTAAGCATAGTTTTTGAATCTTTCGACTTTATATGTTCGGTGTTAAGCTTATGGTTCCTGAAATACTCACTCTGGATGCTCCGTCACCGCTGGGAAAAAAACTGTTTGATACTGATTTGAAGCAGTTGAATGAATCATATGCTCGTGGACGAGCATTGGTACGATTATTTGATTCTTGCATCAATTTCACCTGTTACATCCAATTTTCAGTCTTGCCATGTATGTGGTGAAAGAGGTGCTTTGGTTGGTTGCTGTTCTACTCAGTGCCGGCATGTGTTTCACCTGCCATGCGCAATTCGTTCAAAATGTTTTATAGACTACGAGGAATTTAGGTAGTAGTACTTTTCAAGTTTGGATGTTGCCCATTATGTCCTTTATAGATGTTTTTGCGAGAAACACTCTGGTTCTGCCTATGATAACATCTGCAAAAACTACCTGTCACGTCCGAAGCCTATAAATGTAGATTTTTCTTGTGCACTTTCACAACTTATCATGTACTTACTTTAGAATGATAGCAGTGATCTCTGCTGTTTATGTATGGAAAGAGTCGATCAGCGGGCGAAAATGCATTCCGTTGTGCAGCTTGAGTGTTGTGGTTATCGGTTCTATCATTACGAGTGCCTGAAGGTTCGTTTCCGTATACATTTACAAGGAGTTTGCAGTTTTTGAAGATTACAACTGAATGATCACAGCTCAAATTGTATACAGGGTTTATCAATTGCGGAGTGGGTGCATTAGCATCTCCGCTCCCTTGTGGACGCCGCCTTGACTCTGCGCTTTTTTCGCGAACATGCTCTAATCTTTCTCGCGCTTATCAGCGTTTGAGGCTGCGCCTTTCTTACAATCGTGACGGCGAGGGGGGCGCGCGGGAACAGATACTGGTGCACCCGACTCTGCAATTGGTAAGCCGTGTATGGGTACCTTTCGCGTAGTGCAAGGATGAAGGGATGAAATGCTGTCAAAGAAAACAGCTAATAAATAACTCGTCAGGATAGGTGATAGATTATTTCAGAATGCTACGCTAATACGGGGTCAAGAAATGCGTTGTCCTGCTTGCAATCGTCCAAACGAAGAGACTTCTTTCGAAGAAACCATCAAACGGCAAGGGATATACTTCCAAACATAGTAAGTTTTGAGTCAACAATCTGGTAAAAAAATTAGATCTTTTCTTATTCTTCTTTGCCAGAATATGAAAGCTTGTTAGGGTCTCACTTGTGAGGTTGTAAGCTGGTAGCTCTCTGCACGATAAACATATCGATGCCGGTTACTAGTGGAAATTATGCTACGGATGTTGGTCCACGTCCTCAACATTCGTGGATTTACACTAACATGGATTTACATTACACTAACGTGCCTTTTTGGAGCCTTTCCAGCTTGACAGTCTGCAGCGCACCGGGACTTGGTAGCTCGCAGCAACGCTGTCCTTTAGCTTCTTTTGTTGATTCAAGCATTTCCCATCGTTTTTTCTTCTTGGTTTTTATACTTAAGTCAGTCATTCATTTCCCCTTTCTCTTAAGTTCTCTCGATTTTCAAATATCTTACGTTCTTTTTTGATGAGTACTGAAAGGTAAGGAAAAAATTGTTTAGGCACATCTCTAGAATTCCGCTCCCATTTTACCTACCAAACATTCTTTTCCAAAGTGAACTATCGCCCCAGGCAAAATTAGGTGGAGAGTGTGCTTTGTTCATAAGCAGTGGTGACTTTCATGGATTTTTCTTGGATGAGACCACTCTTACGTTTATTTCAGCTCTCCCACATGGTGTCCCTGATGAAGGGGTGATGAAGGTAGTCACTTCAGTGGTCTGTTAGGGACATGTCAAATCATTACAAAACATTGAAAAAACATGCAATCCCAATCATAGCCATGATCACCACCACTGCAACTACGAAGAAGACTCATTCTTTTCTTCAACTTTGCTCGCGTGATGGTCTCACATAGACATTAGGAGTGATTGCCTCAAATGAAAAAAAGAAGAAAAACGATGTGAAATGCTTGAATCAACAAGAAAGCTTAAAGAACAGGAATGCTGCAAGACACCAAGTCTCCGTGCGCTGCAGCGTACTGTCAAGCTGGAAAAGCTCCAAAAAGGCACGCCAACGGTAACGGTGGTATGATTTACGAGTTGGGGCAGTCGTTGACGGATATCCTTCAATTACGAGTAATGATCAAAGTTAAAAGTACGGTGGGACGCGGCTTCGTTCAGACTATATGGTAGTTTTAGGGAGATGAAAGGTTTCGTCCTCCCAATTCCACTGAGTTAAAGGCAGCGTTCCCTCAAAATGATGGGTACCGGGATCTTACAGTGCTGCAATGGTAGACCCTTCAGCTAATCCGTTGGTGAAGTTTGGAGCGAAAAAGCGCTTTTAGAAAGCCCAAAATCCTCTCCGGAATTCTTACGGACGCCGCCCATTCCCAAACTCCGCCCACTTCCTACACGTAATTTGGAGCGAACGCGGGCACGAAGAGCTTTGGAAAAAGCTCATTGTCGCCGTTTTCAAGCGCTGAAAAGCTCAGATATGGCTTCAGCATGGCGAGAAGGCTCCGGAGAGGTGAAAAACTGGAGAGCGAAATTTTGTCGGGACGCTGCCTTTAACGTCTCGACGTGTCATTCATAAAAATCAAAAAATGTTTTGTGATTCAACTAATTTCTAGCTTAGGGGGATCTGACAGAGATGCTATTGCGATATACAAATGTCGAGTGATGCAATTTTTGAGTTTACTCTGAGCGATTGAAACATAAGAGATGTCAGGATAGGTGGTAGATTAGAACAAAAAAAAACATATAAAGGTAGAAAACTTTGCGTTCTTTTTGTACATTTCCGTGCGGTTCTCAACACCCATGGTTTCAAATATGAAGCGTAGAGCTTTGGTACTCCTCCATAAACCGCGACATCTGCGATTTTCTATGCTTAATTTTTGAATAGTAATTGACAGTTATTACAGCAATCCTTCCTGTGATCCCACTGATGAAAGTTCCTCTGATAATGTTCGTTCTCGATGTTATTATGCCATGACTCGCACTGCAGCGAAAGATCGGTATGTTCCACAGTAACGTTTGCCTTTTCATAGAGATTTATGGAGATTTTTCACCATTGTGTCACGTGTATGCAAATTGACTCAAGCGCGTTTTTATATCTCATTATATATAGGCTTTGACTACTACATCCTCAAGCTTAAGACAAAAAAAGTGTTGTTTAAATTTTTGCTTTCAAACATTCGTATAATAAACTTACCCTAAAATCCCGCCAATAAGTCCGCCTAACAGATAAATCGTAGGTTGATAGGTAGGTCGGTTGATAGGTAGGTTGATATATCAGGCATCTCAAGTTCCTTTGCAGTACATGCCTGAGTTCGCTTGGTCCTGACAGGTACGATGATAGTGATGCATTGAATGATCAGGTTTACAATGCCTTCGAAGCTTTGAACGGTTGTATCGTAAGTTTTGGTTGAAGGAGTTGATGATTGTTGATTCTGCCAATAATTCCGACCTAGACATGTGGCGTTCATTGTCATAGACTTTGTGCTGGACCTCCTTGGTCTACGTATTGTCCAGACGGCGATGGTGCTGAGGAGAAGTGGCAGTGCGATGACTGCAGGTAGATTTTTTGGTTTGTTTCACATTTGTCATGACTCTGGAGCGTGCATCTTTTTACCGGCCTCATTGCTTTTGCAGCTTTTATCCTGCAGTCGAGCGTGTATAAAATATGATAGCACTCGAGTTCAGTACATGTGTTGCACTGATGTGTATACTAAATAGCGGATTGCATGAAAATGTGTTTTCATAGAATTTGCTTGCAAAAAGCTCAAAATTTGTGTGGTATGAGACACCAACAGTTTATGTCTAATAGCCAATCGATTGTCTCTATCGATTCAGGGAAGCGTTCCTACCCGTTGAGAATCCCCCAGCTCCACCAAAAGTATCTGAAACAAGTCAGAGGAATCCTGGTATCACCACTGCATGCTTTTTTCAGCAAATTGTGATGATCGAGTTATAAATGATCTGGTATTTCAGTGTCTGTTGTTGCTAGAAGAAACCGCACGCACACTTCAAATTGTAAGAAAAGACTGCCGAAAGGTCAGAGTTTAAAGTTTTTAAGAACATTTTTTACTAGTTTGTTTTTGTGGATCTTCACAATCTTGGTGATTATCATTTCATTTAAGAGGGCAGATTATCGCTGGATGAAAACAATGTCACTCGTCAGGTCAGCTTTTCGCTTTTGGAGACATGTTCTCACCCTCTCTTTTCAGAAACGTGGGCGGGATGATACTACAGTAAGAACTAGTGAGCCTCCGAAAAAGCAGACTGTCCTTTCAAACTGGTACTCGTTAGTTTTTGATTGTTCTACATGCATTCCTAAATACAACCATTTTGAGGTTTACAAAGGACCGCCACAGGACAAATTCGTCTGGTAGTGATATACAGGTTCTTTAAAGGCGATGGACGTCATTATCAAATGTGCTGATATCTGTATTGAAAATGAGGCGTTGAGCAGTACTCCCTGGATCTCGATATGAATCTCTAAATTGCCATGGTCTGCTTTAATCAGGCTCGCATTGGGAACAGCGTGAGCAGCGCATTTGTTTCTTATTTTTGAGAACAATCCCCTTTGAACTTTGCACTGCAGGAAATGAGACATAGGAACACATTTTACTATACTATTGGAGGTGAATCTAGAACTGAAACTAAATATCTTCACTATGAGAAGCTGTAGTTTGTAAGAGTCAGAGCCATTTTGTACACATACATATATGCGCTTATGAACTTATTGTTCGCTACTCACTTTGTGGCAGTAAAGGCCACCTTACATTTAGCAAAAATATTGGGGTGGCTAGTTGAGCGCATCTTATCACATGCTGTTCTGCGCGTTCTCAATGTTTTTTAGCCATTTGTCCATCTAAAGCAGACCACGGTTGCATCTAGCTGTAAATCTTTTCTCTTACTCATTCTCAGACTTGGGGATTCCAAAACTCATCACACACTGCTTGACAGGCACGAAGTTATTCTTTGTCTCATTTAAGTAACAGGAAAGTAAAAGTCCAATCTGTTCAGCACGTGTGTACGTCGCCTTGTTTCCTGGTCTGAAAATGATATCTATGGTGGAATACATGTTGCATGTGCTGTAGCTCAATTTTTAAACTCACTGAAGATTCTGACAAGTCGAATGTACGGTGTTATTGTGGCCATAAATTTTAGCAATTCAAATCTGTTCCTATTTACAGTATGCGTCGCCCAGCGGAAGCAGCTGGTTACTAACAAGCCTACATTGGTGATAGAAGGTGTATCATTCGTCAAACAGAAACAGTACAGTGCTGTCAAAACTACAGGTCTACCCTGAAAAATGCCGTAGGTCATCTACTTTCCAACGAATTTATCTGAAACTAGCTGGCTTATCCGGCTCCGCCCGGCCCGTCGAAACACTGTGATAAAGCTCTCATCCCCAACTCAGTACAACCTTTCCTTGTGCCCACGCCTACATGCCAATTTACTATTCCCGCTGTTTTAGTAATCAGCATGCTCGATTACCCTCTGTGCCAACTTCCAGCCCCGTAGCTCAAACTTTGCAAAAAAATCGATAAATATAGCGGATAATTCTAAAAGCTGATGTTGTATTCGTAATCAGCATGCTCGATTACTCCACTGCGCCAGATCCCAGCCCCGTAGGTGAACTCTGCAAAAAAACCGATAAAATCGATAAAAGTAATGGATAATTTTAAGAACTAATATTATATTCGTAATCAGCATGCTCGATAACCCCACTGCCAAATCCCAGTCCCGTAGGTGAACTCTGCAAAAAAATCGATAAGATCGATAAAAGTAATGGATAATTCCAAGAACTAATATTATATTCGTAATCAGCATGCTCGATAACCCCACTGTGCCAAATCCCAGCCCCGTAGGTGAACTCTGCAAAAAAAAACGATAAAAATTGATATCGATCGATGACGAAAAGTGGCCTATGCCACCCGCCCGGTCCAAAAGTGTATGTGTGCAAAGTTTGGTCCGGATCGGTTCAGAAATGGAATTTTCTATTCGGCGGTCGCAGGATTTCGCACCGGGTGAGGCGCGACGAAGTTTTTTCTAAAGACTAATTTGATTTTAAAAATTTTAAAAAATATTTTAATTATTTACAACAATGAACAAGTCCTTTGCACATTTTTATCTTCTTATATATAGAGCTGGATTCTGTTTGTCTGTATGTCTGTGTCTGTATGTCTGTCTGTCTGTACGTATGTTCCGAATAGAAAATTCCATTCCTGAACCGATCGGGGCCAAACTTAGCACACATACACTTCGGTGCGGGGAGCGTGTCATAGGCTACTTTTCGTATCGATCGATATCGATTTTATCGTTTTTTTGCAAAATTTGAGCTACAGGGCTGGGAGTTGGCACAAGGGGTAATCGAGCATGCTGATTACAAATGTATTATGGACAGGCCGGGCGGAGCCGGGTTTGCCAACTAGTAACCCATATAGGTAAGTTTCAAAAATTTCGCGACCCATTCTCGGGCCCCCCCGGTCCTCCACTGGAACATACGTACATACATACAGACACAGACATACAGACAAACAGACATTCAGCTTTATATGTAAGATTTGGTACAGCTCTGTGTTTAACAAGCTACTATCAGTAACCAGAGACGGTTCCGTTTTTCTTTGATTATTCAGGAAAAAATCAAAAATTTTGGAAGCAGGCTTGAGGGTGGCCAAAATTAAAGGTCCACCAATAGGTGCGATAGAGGAGCAGGGTCCCCTCCAGGTGAAGGGTGTTTCGGCTATTTCCGACTTAGAAAAGTGAAGCGGTAGCTGAGCCTTGAGATGAATGCTTATATGGCGGGTGGGACTGTGGTGTGCAAAGAGGCAAATAAGTGACACAGAGGTGCAGTATGAAGAACTAGCTGGCTTACCCGGCTCCGCCCGGCCCTGTCAAAATACTATAATGAAGTTGTTATCCCTATTTCTGTATAACTTTCCCGCCCACTTCTATATGCCAACCTATTCCCGCTGTGTTAATAATCAGCACCACTCACTCCTCTATGCCAACTCCCAGCTCTGAAGCTCAAACTTTGCAAAAAATTGATAAAATCAATAAAAGTAGTGGATAATTTCAAGAAGTAATATTGTATTCGCAATCAGCGTGCTCGATTGCCCCCTGCGCCAATCGCAGCCTCATGGTTCAAACTTCGCGAAAAAACTGATAAAATCGATTAAAGGCGGATAATTTCAGAAACTAATATTGTATTCGTAATCAGCATGATCGATTTCCCCCTTTGCCAACTTCCAACCCCGCAGGTCAAACTTTACAAGAAATCGATATCGATCGACGACGAAAAGTAGTCTACGACAACCCCCCCCCCCTTCCCGCCCCGAAGTGTATGTGTGCCAAGTTTGCCGAATCAGTTCAGAAATAAAATTTTTTATTCGGAACATACGTACATACCATACAGACAGACCTACGTACAAACAGACATCCAACTTTATATAAAAGACTAGAGACCCTACAGGTCGCTGGTAAGTGGGTGGGGGGGGGGGCAGATAAATTGATATAAGATAAATATCTACCTGCGTTCAACTAAGAATCCCAAGAAACAGAATCTCCATCTTCTCATACCTTTCACGTTCATAAATAGTAGAAGCAAGACACCATGCTCTTGACAATACAAACTGCCACCATGACTTATTATCTGCAAAGCATCTTTGTTGTTCCTCTCGCAGACACCTTCTCTCAAATTTGGAAGCCTGATATCATCTGTTTAGAAAAGCTGGTTCATCCGAAAACTCAAATTCATTTCCAGTTAAAGTGAGATAGTTTCATGAAATATTGTAAAAGCTGCTTTGTTTTTACCTACATCTCCGGATTTTCCGCTGCTGGAAGACGACCATAAGCGTCAGTTACGTCTTCTAGCAGCGGAAAAACCCGGATATGTAGGTAAAAACAAAGCAGCTTTTACAATATTGCATAAAACTATCTCAAAACGAAAATGTGTGAAGGAAATAGTGATAGTTATGAGAAACAAACGATAATTGTCAGAGATGAGTAGGTTTGTGTCGCTGCGATTATTGTTTTATTGTAGATCATGTTGTACTTTGTACTCGCGCGGCTATAAAAGGCCGCCGGCTTGTTTGTTGTTGTTCTTACTGTTATTGTTCTGTTCCGGCCTTGTCCGGATAAAGTTTTTTTTCTAATATTTTCTGCTCCACGCCAGACGCCCTCCGCATCAGCATCCCCAGCTGATGCGCTACATGGGGGCCAAACCAAACCAACTCAAATCTGCCGATAAGACCGCGTAAGCGGAAAAGGCGAGTATCCTGCCGACTGGCAGTGTATGTTCCTAGCTGAGGCGGCATAAGCCGCTCACCCGGGGATTGAGACTTCGATATACCAGCCCCGCTGCGTGTATCGATATCGAACATCTCGGGTTAAAAAGAACATATGTTGCAGCGGCACCCACAGACCCTCTCCTTGTGACTCGCGTTTCGTGATTGAGAAAACAACGTAAAAAGCAATCAAGTCGATTGATTGCAGTGCGCAATGGAGAGCGTTAATATGGAACAAATTGATTTCGAAAGCTTAACCTAGAGGAGCTACCAACCGAGCAACTTACGAGCATGCACAAAAGGCTTCAAGAACTCGTAGTGGCGGTACAGGATATTTCTAAAAACGGAATCGCCCAAGATCCCACACAGTCCACAACAAGAGTTCCAGAAGAAATCCTCACACGGAGGAAGGTAATGAGCACATGTATGCTGAATTTGATCCCATAACCGCAGCCTTAGGCAAGTTGCGAGAAGTGTCAAACAGCAATGACGATCAAGATGCTACTCATAAATTTCAGCCCGCAGGGACGAATTCGCCGACGGCGCCACATCGGAACCTGTCGAGAGCCAGCCAGGTAGGCTAACTCAAGATTCTCAAACAGGCATAGCCCAAAGTTTGCTGCGATGGCTTTGCCAGAAGTAGAAGTCTTTAGAGACCCACAAGGAAAAGGGTTAGACGAGTTCATTTTGAGGGTCCGAATGAAATATAGCGGTCTAGGGTTGCATGAAAACATGCTCCTCCACCTATTTCTCTCAAAGCTGGGGGGATATCCTAAAGCCGTAGCAGAGGCACTGCCAAGACGACTAAAGGAGGGCACTTTGGAAAATCTCATAGAAGCAATGCGGGACGAATTCAAAGTGTATGACTCCGCCGAGCAAATGAAGACCTACATGCAGCTGAAGATCTTAAGAATGGGCAAAAACATTACCTCCAACTCCCTCGCGCTTGAGAGGCCAAGGACGTTGCAAACGCGATGAGACAAATCACGGAAGAAGCTCCGAAGACGAATATGGGAGGAAAGCCAATGGGGAGTAGGAACAGATCACAGGCTACAAGAATTGTCGGTCAGGAAGATCCAGCAACAGCGGCTTCCCAGGAAAAACAACCACGTTGCTACAACTGTGATGAAGTAAGACGTTACAGCCGTAATTGTAGAAAACCAAAAAGAAGTGAACCCAATGTGGATGCACCGAGGATTCTCACAACTTCACTGAATAAATGGATGTGCGGTACAGTGGGTACAACAGAAAACGTAACTGAGCTAGTAGGGGAACAGATGATTACGAATGTCCACCTGCTAGGTCTGTCGCGAAAAGACTGGTAGAC